TTCCGATCTTCTGCATCACATAGAGCAAATAACCTCAGCTCAGGCTCTGCCCCAGCAAGATGCTGTCAGGGCACGTGCAGAGGAGCACAAACACAGCCAACACGAGCTGACGCACGGCGTGGCATCATCGCTGCTCTGGGCTTAGTTAGGCTAGCAAGAAAGTGTATAAAAGGATTGAATACGCCAAAGGAAGAGATTAATGTCAGTTTGGGAATTGACAGTATCAAGTTTGACATTTCAGAGCTGCCAGCACTATGAAATACTTAATTCAGATGAAGACTTCTATTCAAATAAAAAGTAAACTCTTGTTTAGTTCTTTATGTTTCAAAATATAAAGGCCTGAATGAAAAGTTGTAGATTCTGAAATGCCCCGTGCTTTTTACATGGGAGGACTTCTTACCTTATTTTAGTTTCCATCATAGACAAAGGAAAAAGGTAATATAAAACTGCTATGTTTTGCGGTATCATTGAAAGTAGCCCTTAAAACATGGACATAAGAATCATATTTTAGGATATGAAGCAAACAATGAGGCATTTTGGAAGACAATGCCAGACCTTTTCTTCCAGTGTTATACAGGTATTCCAATTTATTACTAGGTCAATTCCTTTGAAAAGTTCTCTTCCACATGGATTTGGATTCCTGTTGTGTTCTTCCCATCATCCCTGCCTCAAATTTAACTATACACAGAAGAAGCTTGGAAGATGTTTTCTGCAGACCAGAACTTAGAAAGTGTGTCTAATGTTAGATTTTCTTTCGGGCACTTGCTACAGTAATCCTAAGAATGAGAGTTTGCAAAACACTGTTTTTCCAAGGGAAGAATTTGAGTTGAATTCCATTAAACAAAGTGCCTTGTTTGTACAGGGTTAGAAGAGATGCCAGGAGATGACAAGCATATATCAGCAATGGCAAATGATTTATTGCCAGTACTAGTAATATGCATAAATGTCCTTTCCTGCAGCTAGTGCATCTTCAGGCAAACAAGGGAAATCCAACACCTGCCTCTTTCATGGGAACAGCTGAGTTCAGAGTCAAGTAAATCATCAGTACAGAGATATTTTCACATTTTTCCCCAACATCAAAAAATTTAAATAACACTGTATTTAGCAACCTTTTTCCAAAACAGGATTGTCTTTCCATAAAAATGACTTTTCTGGATCCCATAAACTTACTAATACACAACGTAGAGCACAGTATAGTAGAAACTATAGATGATAGTGAAATCGGTGTTCTTCCTACTATCACCCTTCTGAAAATCGCTTTTTTTCCTCCCTTTCTCTTCTTTCCAACAGAGGATGAACAGAGAGAGAAATCTGTCTCCCATCACACTGTTCAGCAGCTGATAGTGGAGAAGGAACAAGCTTTGGCAGATCTGAACTCAGTGGAGAAATCACTGGCAGATCTTTTCAGGAGATACGAAAAAATGAAAGAAGTATTGGAGGGGTTTCGGAAGGTGAGTCATTTAAAGTCCCTCTTTTAAAAAGCAAAGCTGAGCAGGCTCTCATGTATAGCAGCTCTGCTTAACCGAAGGCACATCTTTGTTTCCAGTCCAGTCTGAGGTACCACATTAGACTGCAGTGTGCTGGGGGGAGGGAAAACATGAATGCTCATTTGTGCTTTCGTTTTGGAATAGCTTTAAAAAGATGAGGACTGCACAAGAGTAACTTGCTCCCATCTGTGACACTGCGATTTCAATAGATGTCACGTAACTGCAGGACTTGAGCCTATGTCAGGGCTGGCTTCTGGACTGAGCGTTCTGTTAAAACCTAGGACCTGAATTCCTCAGGTCAGAGGTTTTGTCTAAAGTGCGTGACATAACATAATCCTCAGATGAAGGATTGCAGCCACGTATCAAATGCAAACAGAAGAATTGTAAAGCTTTTTGCATTGTGTAATATTGCTTCAGATGGCTTCTGTGTGGGGGTGTCAGTGTTAGACTGCACCCCTTAAAATATCTGAATGTGACTCCCACAAATAGGTGCCTGTCCTACACTTCAAACTCTTGGATTAAATTTAATGTCATCTTCTCATTTAAGAATGAAGAAGTGTTAAAGAAATGTGCGCAGGAATATTTATCACGAGTAAAGAAGGAAGAGCAGAGGTATCAAGCACTCAAAATCCACGCTGAGGAAAAACTGGACAGGTAATTGATTGTACACATCTCTTTTCAGGGGTCCATGCTGCAGGAGGATTCCTGTGGCTGGGCCTTGCATCCCAAACCTGCTCCTTCAATATGCAGAGCACAGGCTGCTCTGCGATGGAGGGTGGAATGAAATTCCATAATGAGAATTTCTGTAATGTGCTGGTGTTTCTTCCAGCTCCTGACCATATAGAACACCTTAAATTTCTATCTTTATCAAATGTCTTCATGTTTCTTTAATGTATTTTCCAGGGAAGATCAAGAAAGAGACCATTAGCTAGGTTTATGCGCCTGGGGAGGGCTGTGCTTAGATATTTGCGCCTGCAGCCACTATTCCTGCCCCCAGAGGTTTGCTCTTGCCCCTGTGCTGTGTTATTGCCCCTGCGTCAATCAGCAGAACAGTACATGTAAGTGCTGCTCAGCTGTTTCAGTGCAGAATCAGTCAGGCAGTCTCTCCCGAGTAACACCGGTTATCTAAGCTGGATCAGCCCAACCTGTGCTGAGGGCGGCGAGGAATAGTTACGCAAAGGATCATGCCAGATGTGCATGGATAGTAACTCCTTAAGCTACCGTTAAGGAGCGAACAGCAGATTGTGGCTTAAGAGAGGCAGCTCTGGTTGATTTTTTTTAGTTTTTTTTTCCTATGCTTCCATGTAATGGCTGATTAAGCATTTATAGGGATTACATTCAGGACTCATATTGCAGTCCCCTAGACCCAAGAGATGTTTCCAAAAAGTCACTAGGATTGATCAGTGCCTAAAACAAAGTAAGACTTGGATTTGCTTTCCAGCTGTTGCCCCAGCTGTGAGTCTAGTCTGTAAGAACTGGAGATTAGGTTTAGAAACTGCCATAAACCACTTCTGCCTAAGTGATATTTGTGACCCCAGCACAGATATCTGAGAGAAGCATGAAGAGATTGACGCAGACATTAAGGAAAGACTTTGCAGCCTCTGCTGAGCAAGAGAGGGAGTCATGAAAAATCTTTAGGGACAAGTCCCAGAATACTTTCAGACATGCAGAAAGTAGCCCTGCCCTCACCACCCATCTGTTAAGATGCAGTCCATCTTTCGGTACCTGCTGTCCTTTCCTGTAGAGAGCCTGACGTGACAAAAATCTGTGTTTTTCTAGAGCCAATGCTGAAATTGCACAAGTGAGAGGCAAGGCTCAGCAAGAGCAAGCAGCGTACCAGGCCAGCCTTCGTAAAGAGCAGCTGAAAGTGGACGCATTGGAAAGAACACTGGAACAAAAGGTAAATAGCGATTCAGCTCTTTTAACGCAGAAGTCAACGGGATGACCCAAGTTAAGTGAAACTTCCCAGAGCGGCTGCATCCAGCTCTCCTCTGGAGCTCAGACCACAGCCAAGGTCAGCCTGAGCACCTCTCCAGCTCCTCACATCCAGCTGGCCCGGCAGCTCCCCGGCCCCAGGGAGAGCAGAGTTGCCCAATATTATTTTATAATAAAATCAGCTGCGTGCACCGGGCAGTTCGGGCAAATGGACCCATCTGCCAGGCTTTGATCTCAGCCACCGGCCAGCGCTCGGGGCTGATTCAGGCTCGGTCAAAGCTCAGTGAGCACCTCTATACCAAACAGGGCCCTTGGTTTGCTTTGGTTCTCAGGTTTGAGAGCTCTCTGTTTTAGTTCTTCTCTCGGTTTTTGTTTCCATTTTTAGCTGTAATTCCAGTGCTAGCTTACGTGCCTCCACTGTTAACATAGACAAAATGATCAGATACAGATCTGTACGGCTTAGGGCAAAAGTGACTGTAGGAAATCGCTGTTCATATTTCATGTTCTCTAGCTCAGCAAAGGAGCTTGCTTTCAGTATAGTACAGCTCGTCCTTGCTTAGAGCCACTGGAAAACAGTGAAAATAATGTTATAAAAGTGCAGCCTAGATACAAATTTACACTATGTATTATTATCGTGTGCTAGGAATGACTGCTATAAAGCTGTGTGCTTTAGTGCTAAATTGTATTTATTGAAGTCAGAGGAGCTGTATGTGGAAATAAGTAAGCATATTGTTTGAATGCACTATACGTAGCTGTACTATGTATGTGTATACATATCTATATATCTCTCTTTCTAGATACTCTGTTCTCAGTAATGGAGAAAACTTAATCGTCCCACACTTCTCCCAAAGATCGGATAATTAAAAAAAAAACTACCCTCATCCTAATGCAACAGTGTTTTTCATAATACTTAATATTGCCTTTTATTTTCCAGAATAAAGAGATAGAAGAATTAACAAAGATCTGTGATGAACTGATTGCCAAAATGGGGAAAAGCTAACTTTTAACCAAATTTCTGGACTTCGATATTGAGTGCAATATGACCATTGGCACACTGATGTCCATACATTTATGTGGACAGGTTATATTTTCACTTTTTCGTATGCACTACTGTATTTTCTTTCTAAATAAAGTTGATTTAATTGTATGCAGTACTAAGATGACTATCAGAATTTCTTGCTATTGTTTGCATTTTCATAGTATAATTCATAGCAAGTTGATCTCAAAGTTCCTGTATCAGGGAGATTGTCAAGTTCTCTAAGAAATTACAAATTGCTGATCCTAGCCTTCCCTTTGTACATGAGTTCCCATGTTGGATGTCTTTTGGATTTAATATAAACATGTATTACTTGCATGGGGACTCTTGCCTTAAGGAGTGTAAACTTTATCTGCATTTGCTGATTTGTAAAATAAAATTAAAAAGAAAAAAAAAATGAAAATGCATGTCACTCAAATGAAATTCTCTATTGTAAATAAATTTTTTCGTTGAAAGTTGAAGATAAGTATGGCTCTATTTTATGTACTTCGCTTGCTTACTTCATGTGCAGCGCCAAATACAGCAGCTCTTATTAATGAATTCCTTCACAGAAAGCACTTCATGGGTCTCTGCTTGGAGCGCTCCGTGGGTCACAAGAATACTACTTACGTGCGCATATCTATGTCTATATCTTGCTCTCTCTGTGTATATATGTGTGTATATATATGCTAGATTTGGACCACTCAGGTCTCAAGCATAGGCTTAATCCTCCAAAATGTTTAATACTCTGACCCTGATCTAGTGAATCCCATAGGCAAATGTCATGAGACTGTTTGGATGAGCTGGAGGCAGTGACGTGCGATGATGAGATGGTGGTTTTTAAGCATATCTATCACTGAAAGGTGAATACATTTTCTTCTTTGTGCTAATGGAAGAATTTGCCTGCAAGTTTGTGGAGATGAAATACATGTGATATGAAGTACAACCAGAATAAGCTAGATAAGTAGCATTCTCGCACACCTCTTTATCCTATAAGTTATCCCCTGCAGAGGATTAGGTATGTAAGAGAAGCATTAAGGCTTTAATAGCAAACAAACTGCTTTCTTTGGCTAATGGTGCATCTCTTGTATCTCCATGATGTGGACAGTCTTCAGCCTGGTTCTTGTCAGCTCCCTTTTTGTACTCAAAAGTAAGTCAACTCCCTTTTCTTTCCTGTTTTATTTCTTTTTCATTTCCTACTTTAGGCATGGCTGAGCCTCTTTGCTGTTCTGGGCTTCTCTCCTGGGTTTGTTTGGTTTCAGATTGTTTTGCCTATGTGGTTAGCAGCACAGAATTTCACCTCTGCTATATAATGTAAATGTAAATATGTATGCTAACAAATTTAAATGCACGTGTCCCTGTGGACAGCAAGTGTGCCTTCTGCTCTGCACGTTTGAAGTATGGTATTTTAAATGTATTTCAAAGTCATGCTTGGCTTTGAAAATACCGTGTAGTTTGAACCAAGGAAAAGAAAGAGGTTTGAGTCATGGTTGTAATGTTTAAACAAAAGCAAAACTCTTAAGATATACTGCTGTGCCTTCCAGCTGAATTGATACTTTAGGAGAAGATGAAATATGGATCATAGTAAGATTTCATGTGTTTACAATGTACTTTTTCATGGTACTGTGGACCAAAGATCATGACGGAGGGGGAAGAAAAGGTGATACTCCAATTTGTTATGGTGGACTCTGCTCTGAAAATAATACAAGAAGGTGTGGATGCAATTACAGACCATCAGATGTTCTTGGATTATTTTAAGTGCAAATTGTAACAACTAAATAATACATGGCTGATTTTTTTCATCTTTAAAATCAGTATCTGGACCACTTCTAAAAAAGAAAAATTGATAGGATTTGCAGAATCTTTAGATTTTTTTTAAACCTTTTTGCAATTTTTTGCTTCAAACAAAATTAGAAAGACTGTGTAGCTGCTATTTTAAAATATTTTTTGTAAACTCTAAACACTACTGTTACAAGTGGTCTTTTTTTCCTTAATGCCAGGCGAAGCACTGCAGTGTTACACCTGTGTAGGTTCTAGTGATGAAGACTGTAACAGACAAGGAAGTCAGCAATGTCCAGGGCATTCAGATGCATGTGCGGTCATTAGAGGACAAGCAAGTAAGTAATCACAAACAGTTCAGACTCATTAAATTTTTAATAATATAAATAAATAGTCAGTGTTGGAAAGAGAAGAATATATAGTAAGCTAAGGAGAAAAACAAAGGTGAATGTTTCCTTTCAAAATAAACCCTATTAATAAATCTTAATCCCTAATTTTATTGGTTTAGCAGCACCGAGTATGATTTGTCAGTATGTCATGATGAGCCATATCCACGCTATGTGAAAACTGTAAAAAGGCATTTTAAGTATAGCCCACTTCTTATGAAAATCTGTCCTTTTTAAGTTAAATGACACACCTGGAAATTAGGAAGGAAAAGAAGCTAACGAGGCACTGCACTTGAGCACGTTCAGAGATATTTAAGCTGCATCAGTTGCATCTAAGATAAATTACAATTATTAACTTAGGTGGGAGCTTGTTAGTGTGCTGTAATCTGGTGCAATTGTATTAATTTACTTGTAAGGAACGGCCAAACCTAGTGTTTGTTGCTCATGTTGGACGGTCAGGTCCACGCTGAGGGGATGCAGACAGGAGCGGTGACCTGGTGCTGGTCGGTGTGGGTTCAACGTGGCTCTCTTCTAGGTGGCGTTATGAAGTCCTGCTCGTTCAGGTCCTTCTGCGAGCGGGCAAGGAGGGACGGATCCAGAGCGCCTGGAGTGAGCGTTCACTGCTGCTACTCAAACAACTGCAATGCAAGAAGCCTGGCTCCAAGAGTCACCACCTCCGCGAGCTACTTCTCTCTCCTCGTCTTCACATTGGTGTGGCACCCGTTGTTGAAGCTGACATGAGGGGGGAGAAAAAGAGTATCCTGAAGCAACAAGTCTGCCTTCTTAGAAAGGGATGATTATATTTCCTAATCACGTTACTCCATGAACCATATTTCTCGGTAGGCAAAAAGCAGTAGGCAGACCTGACAGATGTTCAGATAAAAATTGTTCCATCTGCTAAATATATCTTGACCTATATGTAAGAAACGCTGCCCTCTTCTTGTTTATCGTGAGGGGTTGATTGTGCGGATATGTAACATTTTCCTACAATTTAGATATAGTATGTATAAAGAGAGGGAGAAATCTTAGCTGCAAGTAGCCTTGTAGTAGGGTAAAGGACCAATATCTTCCAAATGCTGTTTACTGTTGGCAGACATTCAAAAGCAAGCTAAAATTTTCAAGCACAAAGTGACTGAAAATTCTAGCAAGCAAATTAGTCTTTCAGAGAACATTTGCGAACTGGACAAAGCCAGAAAACTTGAAATAAAGATGATTTAGTATTAATACAACCTGGTAAGAGAAGGTCATTAAGAGAACAATGCGTGGAGGTATGTTATATTTTGTATATTTCCTGGAAAAAAAAACCAACTTCCAGTCTTCTCTTTTCTGATCCTTTGGGAATCTTACCACAACATTGGAAGAAGAAGAAAAAAAAGAGCTTGGAAGTTGTTTTGAACTGGTAAGCTCCCTCCAAAGATCAGCTCGTTCTATCTCTACTGCTGGTTTTGAGAATAAGTGGTTAATCCTTGTCTTGTAGGTAAATTATAACTTGAGTAATAACATTTTTGTTTATCCAAATTCTTCTTGCAGTTTCAACTATGTAGTTAATTCTTCACTGTCCTAAACTTCATTCTTTGAGAGTAAGAGTATGTATCTCCCCCTTCAATGACGTGATTGAGTTGATCTGTGGTGGTTTATACATCCTTCTCATTTTGCAAAGTGAGTGAGATTACTTGGAGATCTTTAGAGATGTAAGGAACTAAATCAACATTTTTAATAATCCCATTCATTGCAGTCTTACCAAGTAAATGATCCAGAATGGGCCACATCGTAGAAGGCACTGTGCATCACTAGCTAGCAGGGAGACGGTCCTTTGAAGTGGTTATGTTGAAACTAGTCAAGATGAGAAGTGACATAACACACGATGTGATAGCACTAAGCAGGGTCTTGGGTCTGTGGTATTGGAGAGCGGGGTGGTACCTCCTTTGATTCAAAACTCAGAGGGACAGACAAGCAGATGAGTGATATTTGTAGATTTTAATGTCCAACTGTGGTGATCTGGTCTAATCTTGGCACACAACATGCATAGGACTGGCTTAAAGTCCAGCTGGTGTAATTGAAGTAGAGGTCGTCTTTCAAGTTCTAGTTTTAGTTCCCATTTGGAAAAGAGTTGGTCGTCAAGTTTATGGAACTCACAAAATACGTGGCAAAGTAGTTTTTCCACTAGCTTTGTGTTGTGACATTTTTTCAGTGTAATTCTTTGACAAATGAATTCCAGGCAGCGCGTCATAGAATTCTGCACGCTCACAAAAATTTTATTAAGGTTGCAAACTCTAGAGAGCTTCTTCAGGTGAAATCAGTGAAACCTCCACGTAGAGTATAACACTAGCCTGCCTTGTAGCTGTTGCCTGTCACATGGACCAAACTGTCTCCTTGTTTTATTGTGCTCTTTCCTCTGGATCCTTTCATCATCTCATGTAGATTGTGGCTTCAGACTGGGACTATTCTTCTGGGGTTTTGTTCGAACGGGCTATCAGACAAGGCGGTTCTGGTCTATGCTTAGTTGCTAGGCACAAGTCTGATAAAGCTGTTGAATATAAAGATGTGCAACAACGCAGCAGATTCTGGCTGAGAATGTTAATTTAGACTTAAACATCTCATCCGTGTAAAAATCACTTAAGTTGGTTTAAGTATTTTTCATTTCATTCTCAGCTTGAATCAATTCCTTCTATCTGCTCTGCTACAGGAAATATGTATTGATTGTATCTTTATTTTCTGATTGTTCTGTAATGATAAATCTGCATTGAATGTAATCTCTGTATATGCTCAGTGCATTTCCTTAATGAGAAAATAAAATACGTGCAATGGCTGACAATGTCTCTTGATAAACAAAACTGCATCTTTTATTTGGGATTTCCAGTTGCATCTGGCCGTCTGTTTTACAACAGGAATTCTGGCTTTTTTTTTATTGTGGGAAGTATTTCTTAAATCTGTTAGATAAAATAGTGAATGTTGATAGTTTTCTTACTGTGATATTTCCATGGTAAAATAAGAAGGTAGGGCTCGATCCTCTTGACAAACACCATCTGTCGTTCCTGACTGCAGCCAGGACGCAGATCTTCAGGCAGCTCACAGCCTCCCACCTCCGGCTGATTCTGCCACCCAGCACGTAATGGGCTGTGGTTTGCTTTTTACGGGTCTGACATTTTTCTTGCCTAATTATGAACCTGAAGTGTGCATGCATGTATATATCTAGAAATGATAAACCGTTATTTATGGATCGATGATATCAGAGGGGTTTCACAGTGGTTCTTGGCATAAACATTAACAGGAAGGCAAGCACAGAAAGAAATGGAACAAAAAGGAAGGATTATTTTTTAAACTCCATTAAAAATACAGCAAATATTTTAAAGTTTCCATTGCCATGACTGTGCAAAGCTATTCCCAGTCATATGTAAAATAGAAAGTAATTGTCTTTAGTTTGGTTGTTCTGAAGTCTAATCGTTCCCAGCACGGTGGCATACTCTTTCTGTCTTCCTTAATGTTGACAGACAGTTGGGACAAAAGGAGCAGAAAGCGATAATGAAATGCCTTCTGCTGCAACAGAAATGATAGGACTTCTTTTTTGTCTGTTGTATTAGTTGGGTTTGAGTTTAGTGCTAGCCTCTCCCCTTCAAGAAAGGATCTCCAAAGCAAGAGATTCGTAATTTCTGATTTATAAGTGAGAGAAACTCTCAATTATAACTACAACTTGGAGAGCTTACAGATAGCCCCAAATCATAATTTCCATGATTTCTTTATAACCTCTTGGTTTTGGCAGTACAGACAGCGTTTCCTTGTTTTCCCAGTCTTCTCAAAGTCGACGAGAGCCTCTGGGACCTACCAGGAGGGCACATCTGAGCCCTGCGCTTTCTCAAAGAGCATACACACAAATGTGCGATTTGATTTGTGTCAATATTCATCCACACCTGACTTTTCCCACAGTGAGAGCAAGGTTCCAAGTTGTCTCTTGTTCTTGGTAAGGAACAAACAATTTGGAAGCTTGTGAGCTTTAAAATCTAGAGCAGATTATCTCAATACCAGCTCTGCTATTTAATGAAAGAAGTTTTAAGTACATCTTGGTGTCACAGACCACAGTTTCTTTTTTAACCTTTTTTTTCATGTGAAATGTTAGTCATGTAGCTCTGTTCAGTAGGGATTAAAACAAAGAACACCCTTGTACCTTGTGCTATCATGTCTTTGTGTGCAACGAAAGCCCAGCTGTGACAGATTTCATTGTGAGCATCACTCCAAAGGGTCTCAACCTTTCCAGACCCTATAGATGTTTAGGACGTAGCCCGGAGCTGTTGGCTGTGGCTGGTGATTGCTCTTGGGGAGGAGATTTATGCTTTTGAAATCAGAAGTCCTGACTGCAATTCATGGAGCTCAAGGTTATCACCCTGCATACACACACACTCCCTCTTATCACCCAAAGCCAGCAGTGCACGGAGTATATTTAATTGGTAAATTTATGAAGTGCTTAGATAGAAGATATTTACTCACAACAGAGTGGAAAAAAATGATAACAGTGTTAATCCAAGTACCAATACGTATAAAGAATGTAGCTAGAAATTCATCATGTTGGCAGCGTAGGTACAAGTAAACTTTGTTAGCATCTGAAGAAAGCAAGGGAAAAGCCAATGTGGGATGCAGTTCAGAAGGCAGCACAGAAGCAGCATGTGATACTTGGCAGCGTGGCTTTATGGAAAGTAGGTCTTGTCAAAAACATCTCATTTGAGGTTACGGATTTTTGCTGATAAAGGCAAATATGTAGATTTTGCAACACGTTTCAGATAAAATTGCAGTCGTGATATACAGACTGAGAGTTCAAGAGCTAGAAGCGCGAAAGACTGCAAAAAGAAGTTCTCAGTAAAATCATCCAAATGGTATCTTGGACCCAGGCGATCTCACAGCATCTTTCTGACAATCTCAGGATGGTACCAGAAGAAGTGTCACAAAAAGAAGGGGCTGTCAAAGCACTAGCATGTCTGCATCAAGATAGTCCTATACGTTGCCATAGGGACGGGTTTCCAAGGGAGACAGTTAATGCACTTTTCTGGAACAAAACTAAAGCAGAGGAACGAGAGCGGAAGGATGGGGCTGAGCGTTTTGTAGCCACCCAACCCTCCTCTGCTCCCCACTTAGCACCAGTAATCTGTGAAGCAGTACGCTATTACTAAAATTGCTTACACCTTTTCTAGCAACCTGATTTAGCCCAGCAGGCAATCTTTCTTTCAAAAACTCCCCTTTTAGCTGCTAGCTCAAAAGACTTGTAAGTATGAGATAATGTTTGAAAGGTGAAGGGGAATTTCTCACTTGAAGTCGTTTCCCTTTTCTGAAGACTTCCTGCCCTTCCTCCTCACCAAAATGTTTTTCATTTTTTGCTTTAAACACTCCAGGGGGGAGATGTTTGAACAGAGACTTGGCCAAAAAATTAAGGCTGGTGTTCAAACGCAGTCACTGGTTCCTACCACCTTCATTTGAGATGTCCATCATCTTATTTTAAGCAATGCCGGTCACCCTCAGTTTCTGATTTTCAGTGCAAAAAGGTCAGTGTCTGCAGAACTGGCCTGGAGCTGTCGGACTGGCTGGCATCTCTTCAGCCAGGTCAGAGCCTGATTTTGCTCAAAACCAAATTTTTGATGCATGGGTTTGCTCCTGTGCTCTCCCAGCCTTCACAGAGCTTTTGCAATCTTGAGGGTGTTCTTTGTCTCCCTTTAGCAACTTGTTCTTACCCCCCTTTGCAGCTTTTGGAGGACTTT